CTTTGTTTACTTGCTTTGATACTTTGTTTACTTGCTTTGATACTTTGACACCTATGTTTCCGACTTGGACGCTTTCCGACACATCATGCGGGACCAGTTAGGCGCCAGAAATTGGCTCTGCCACTGGCAGTGGCCCCCCCTGAAAAAAGGTAAACAAAAGTGAGAATGCCTTTGAAAAAAATGGTGGAATAGGATCACATTGAATACAAACAAGTTATTTGACAGAGTCACTTCTCCTCATCCAATCAGAGAGGAGCTGCTCGGTCAGCTGACAGCTACAGGTCAGAAACTGGGAGGAATATATAGCAGGAAGGAAAGAAGAAAACTCCACTGTGTCATGTGACTCCTGTTGAAGCAACTCTCTTAGTGCACTCAAAACCTGTCTGACTGCTTTATTCCTGCTTGAAATCTGATGCACCTTAACCTGCCTGGTGACACCCGGCTGAGGCTGCTGATTGGTTCTCCAGCCAGAAATGAAAGAACAAACAGCCAGAAGAAGGAAACAGACGAGTAAAAGAGACGATCGGCTCTTATCAGCTCATCTATCCAGATGATTCTCTTCCAGCTGCTGTTTGGAGCTCTGCTCTTTGTCCCGGTGATGAGTTCAGGTACCTAAAGCCTTCTTTACACAGCCATTTCTGTCACTGGTTTCTTTTTCACACTAAAGAACGACACTGAGCATGATCTGCTCAGCTGTTCATGATAGCCGTCAGGCTTCTCTTTTACCCATAATTCTCTGCTCCTTTCAGCCTCTGGACGACACTCGCTGTGGGTGATGGCGTCTTACATCTCAGGACCGACCCTGTTCCCAGAGTTTACTGGAACCTTGATGCTGGATGACATCCAGGTGGGGTACTGCGACACTCAGACTGATAAGGTGATGAGGGTTGGTGGTGGAGGAGAGAAGGAGGGGGAGGTTGTCCTCGATGAGGAGGCAATAAATATACGGTGGGGCTTTTTATCTGGTATGAGAAACAGGCTAAATCTGGCCAAAGAGCAGATGAACCTTACAGCCTCAGGTGTGCACGTCTATCAGCGGCTGACAGGCTGTGAAGTTCTGGACGGTCAGCTGACGTTTATCATGGGAAGAGATGCTGTTAACAGCCAGGATGCTTACAGCGTGCAGTACAACACGACACACTTCACCTACACCAGAGGAAACACTCCAGAGTTCTATTGGGATGCTATGAGTAAGACTTATGAACAGATGCTATTCACAAACCTGTTACTTCCAATCTGTGCTCGGACTCTGAATAACCTGCTGGAGCGTGAGAAACACCTGGTGATGCGGCGGGTTCGGCCCCGAGTCCGCCTCTTGACGAAGCAGGTGGTGGGCGGGGCTCAGCTCACCTGTCTGGCCACAGACTTTTACCCTCGCCACATCAACCTGACGCTGCGGCGGGACGGGGATCCGGTGGACGCAGACCGACTGAGCGGCGGCTTGGTGCTGCCCAATGGGAACGGCCTCTACCAGATGAGGAAGACGCTGAGCATCGATGAAGAGGAGCTGCAGAGGAAGCACAGCTACACCTGCACAGCGTCTCACCTGAGCCTGGACAACCGGCTGGACGTCAGCTGGAGGGCCCAGTCCTCACGCTCACACAGAGTCCAGGTCCTCTCTGGTCCCCTCATCCTGATGGTGGCTGCTGTCATCCTGCTGCTGGTGCTGTGGAGGAGGAGGAGGGCGTCGCCATGGAGACACGGGGGCAGTCAGCAGTGACAAACAGAACAGGGAAACTGACCCGTCCAGTCTTGGTCTTTGAGAGAGGGAGCTGGCTGCATCATTATCTGAATGAATCTCATGAATAGATAGTTACACAAGTCTTAATTATCTGCACAAATATGATCTGAATGTATAAAACAGTCCAAAGATCTTCTGTCTTTGGAGTTTGGCTCAAAGCGATGAGCTTAGGTGGAAGTTGCTTTTATACCCAGTTCAGACATCCTCACCCGTCAGCAGGTAATCGGCTGGTTGGAGAACCTTCCAGAACCCATTTCTGTGGGCTCTGTCAGCTTTCTGTCTTTATGGGACTTAGGGCATGTTTTACTGAGTGTTGCTGCTTCAGGCTCTGGTTCTGGTGATTGTCTGTTGTTAATATAATGAAGCTATTCATAGAAAATGCTGTTAAACAAATGTGTATCCAAATACCTAATGACAGGTTTTAATTTTAGTTGATTTCAGGCTTTTAAGGGACTAAAATGTATGTTGTTCTTTTGATAGCTGTATGATAATATTTTATATCCTTTAGATTCTTTTGAGCCTCCTGTGATGCTTCACTAACTACAGATTTGACTTCTGGTTTCTAATATAAACAGGTTTATATGACGACACAGTTTTAAATCTAAAGGAGGAAATGGTGGAAAACATCAGAAAAAGCCCCATCACACTGGTTAGTACTTCCTTTAATATCTGCATGTTTTTCTTTGCAGTTTCTTTGATGACTTTGACAATAATCACTGTGAAAAACCAATAAAGAGTTCAAAGATGAAGGAGGCTCTGTTTCCATTTTGGTCATGTACAAAAGGCGGGAAACATGATCCCAATTCTCAATGAAGTAAAAAAAAGCTTCTAAACCACTAAACTGTAAGTTACACTAGAAAAACCTGTTCCTGAGAAACAGCTGTGAGAAAACCTAAAAAGAAATTTGAGCTAAGGCAAGGCATTATGGGTTATAGAGTTCCCCCTCAGCTGAGGGTGTGACTATAAAGATGAGCAGGAAGCCTCTTCTTTCTCATCTCATCAATCTCAGTGAGACACTGAACACAGAAAGGTGTGTTTCTTCACGAGATTTAACATTATCACAGACTATTTGAGCGCGCACGTGTGCATTCATACGCGCACGTGCATTATATCTCATCACTCGTGTGTACTGCATAGTCTTGGAAACAATTTGTGCACCTCCATCCATCCAGCCATCCATTTGTATCCGGGATCTCGTTCTTTCGGTCACTACCCAAAGTTCGTGGCCATAGACGAGGGTGGGAACGTAGATCGACCGATAAATTGAGAGCTTCGCCTTTAGGCTCAGCTCTCTCTTCATCAGGACAGACCGGTACAGCGCCCGCATTACTGCAGACGCCCCCGATCCGCCTATCGATCTCACGCTCCCTACCTATCACCGGCGTGACACCGGGCCCAAATGCAAGACTCCAGGCAAGGGAATAAATCCAAGTCTTTTATCCAAAAATGGTCGGTACACGGGTAGTTGATAAGATGAACTGACCTGTGCATATATGTTGTATAGTTCTTCTCTTGTTTATGTTTTTATTATTTCCTACTGTGATTTTTATTTTTATTTTTTATGATCTGTTTATAATGTAATGTAATGTCTTCATGTGAAGACCCCAGGAAGACTAGCGGCCATTTATTTGGCAGCTAATGGGGATCCTAATAAAACTAAACTAAACTAAACTAAACTAAGACAATAATGAGCCAGCAAAGGTACAAAAACGGCAGGCAAAAACGGAGGTCAAGAACAGGCAGGCAAAGGTCAGGAATACAAGGCAAGACGAGACTAGGAATGCTTGGACGACTGACAAAAAGACAAGTACGAACACGCAACGAACAAGAGACAGACTGGGGAAAAAATACACCAGACAGGGAAGGAAACCATGAGACACAGGTGGAGGTGATCAGGGAGGAGTCAGGAAATCAAGAGAAAGCAAGTGGGAAAGAGACACTGGGACCAGACAGGAAGGACTACAAAACAAAACAGGAAACATGACAAGACACCCATGACACTACCCCCATTCGCGAACAAGACCCCGAGGTACTTGAACTCCTCCACTTGGGGAAGGACGTCCGCTCCGACCCAGAGAAGGCACTCTACCCTTTTCCGGTGAGAGACCATGGTCTTGGACTTGGAGGCACTGATCCTCATCCCAGCGCTCCAGTGAGAGCTGTAGGTCCCGACTTGATGAAGCCAATAGGACCACATCATCTGCAAAAAGCAGAGATGCGATCCTAAGGCCACCAAGACTGACACCCTCAACACCTCGGCTGCGCCTAGAAATCCTGGCCATAAAAGTTATGAACAGGACCGGAGACATAGGGCAACCTGGGCGGAGTCCCTTTGGCCCCTCCCATGGGTGGTGAGCCCATGGGAATTTGATTTGACCCCTCTGCAGGAGAACTGCAAGGCAGAGGTCAAAAGCGGGCACATCGGAAAAAGGAGGATGTCAGCAGCTACGTTTTTAGCACTTTTGTTCCTGCTCGGTTTGGTTTTGAGAGCCAGGAGTTTGACTTTTTTGTGTATTTTCCCATTGGCCAGTTAGCGCCTGTGATGATGTCACTAGGGTTGAGAGGATATTTGG